ACAAGAGCACTCCAGGTTCCCTGCGGGTCAGAAACATAAGGCTACAGTGGGGAAAACAGCAGATAATCAGCAGATAGAATGCCTCCCCGGAAACTACAGCAGATATAGATCAATGAAAAAAACATAGAAGAAAAGGAAGGGGAAGGAACAATATAGAAGAAAAGGAGGAGAAAAGGGAAGAGGATAAGGTCGGAAAAGAGACAAGGGCACTCCAGGTTCCCTGCGGGTCAGAAACATCTGGCTACAGCGGGAAAACAACAGATAGAATGCCTCCCCGGAAACTACAGCAGATATAGATCAATGAAAAAGACATAGAAGAAAAGGAAGGGTAAGGAACAATATAGAGGAAAAGGAGGAGAAAAGGGAAGAGGATAAGGTCGGAAAAGAGACAAGGGCACTCCAGGTTCCCTGCGGGTCAGAAACATATGGCTACAGTGGGGAAAACAACAGATAGAATGCCTCCCCGGAAACTACAGCAGATATAGATCAATGAAAAGACATAGAAGAAAAGGAAGGGTAAGGAACAATATAGAAGAAAAGGAGGAGAAAAGGGAAGAGGATAAGGTCGCAAAAGAGACAAGGGCACTCCAGGTTCCCTGCGGGTCAGAAACATATGGCTACAGTGGCGAAAACAACAGATAGAATGCCTCCCCGGAAACTCCAGCAGATATAGATCAATGAAAAAGCATAGAAGAAAAGGAAGGGTAAGTAACAATATAGAAGAAAAGGCGGAGAAAAGGGAAGAGAGAGAAAAAGGAAGAGGATAAGGTCGGAAAAGAGACAAGGGCACTCCAGGTTCCCTGCGGGTCAGAAACATCTGGCTACAGTGGCGAAAACAACAGATAGAATGCCTCCCCGGAAACTCCAGCAGATATAGATCAATGAAAAAGCATAGAAGAAAAGGAAGGGTAAGTAACAATATAGAAGAAAAGGAGGAGAAAAGGGAAGAGGATAAGATCGGAAAAGAGACAAGGGCACTCCAGGTTCCCTGCGGGTCAGAAACATATGGCTACAGTGGGGAAAACAACAGATAGAATGCCTCCCCAGAAACTACAGCAGATATAGATCAATGAAAAAGACATAGAAGAAAAGGAAGGGTAAGGAACAATATAGAAGAAAAAGGAGGAGAAAAGGGAAGAGGATAAGATCGGAAAAGAGACAAGGGCACTCCAGGTTCCCTGCGGGTCAGAAACATAAGGCTACAAAGGGGAAAACAACAGATAGAATGCCTCCCCGGAAACTACAGCAGATATAGATCAATGAAAAAGACCTCATAGAAGAAAGAAAGGACGGAAGGGGCAAAAGGGCCGTAAGAAACAATATAGAAAAAAAGAAGGAGAAAAGGGAAGAGGATAAGATCGGAAAAGAGACAGGGGCACTCCAGGTTCCCTGCGGGCCAGAAACATATGGCTACAGCGGGGAAAACAACAGATAGAATGCTTCCCCGGAAACTACAGCAGATATAGATCAATGAAAAAGACATAGAAGAAAAGGAAGGGTAAGGAACAATATAGAAGAAAAGGAGGAGAAAAGGGAAGAGGATAAGGTCGGAAAAGAGACAAGGGCACTCCAGGTTCCCTGCGGGTCAGAAACATATGGCTACAGTGGGGAAAACAACAGATAGAATGCCTCCCCGGAAACTACAGCAGATATAGATCAATGAAAAAGACATAGAAGAAAAGGAAGGGTAAGGAACAATATAGAAGAAAAGGACGAGAAAAGGGAAGAGGATAAGGTCGGAAAAGAGACAAGGGCATGACAAGGGCATTCCAGGTTCCCTGCGGGTCAAAAACATATGGCTACAGTGGCGAAAACAACAGATAGAATGCCTCCCCGGAAACTACAGCAGATATGGGTCAATGAAAAAGGCATAGAAGAAAGGGAAGGGTAAGGAACAATATAGAAGAAAAGGAGGAGAAAAGGGAAGAGGATAAGATCGGAAAAGAGACAAGGGCACTCCAGGTTCCCTGCGGGTCAGAAACATATGGCTACAGCAGGGAAAACAACAGATAGAATGCCTACGGATACAGACATAGAAGAAAAGGAAGGGAAAGGACTATTATAGAAACAAAAGGACAAGGAAAGGGAAGCGGATAAGAGCGGAAAAGAGACAAGGGCACTCCAGGTTCCCTGCGGGTCAGAAATGTGGCTACAGTAGAAAAACAACAGATAAAATGCCCCCCGGAAACTACAGCAGATATAGATCAATGAAAAAGACATAGAAGAAAAGGAAGGGCAAGGAACAACATAGAAGAAAAGGAGGAGGCATTCTAACTGTATTTCGCCTGTAAAATACCAGTAAAAACTTACATTTTCTTACCAATTTTGTCGCCGCATTCTAACTGTGTTTCTGCATATTTACAGGTGTTTCCTCAGTTAGAATGCGACTGCCGTGGGGGGGGGGCCAAACGGGCCACCATCACGCGAAGCCAAAACCGCATTCTAACTTTGTTTTTAACGGTATATGTATTATTATATATTATATGTATGTGTGTCTGTCAGAAAATGTACATATAAAAGGATCAATACACACGGATAATAGCACCGAAAAAGACTTATAAGCAGGTGCTACAGTTGCCATCCAAAATTGACCAGAGATTGGAAAAGGTGCCTGGTTTATGAGAACCAAGAACTCAAGGGTGCCCAACCAATTGCCTCTAATTATATGGGCTCTCTGGCTCTCTATATAACGTATAAACTTTTCGGGCACAGCATAAGTGAATAATTACCATTGAGTCATTGAGCCACACGAAAGTGATGTTTGAGACACATCTCAAGTGTAGACTGGAAAATATCAGCTGTATCAAATGCTATCCTATCCCTATAAACATCTATAAACCGCGGAAACCATGGTGGATGTAGGGGAATTACACATACTTGGGAGCATTTGGGATTATGATAGGCTCCACAAGAGATTTCATGGCACAATCAATGACAAATCTCCTCAAACCACCAGCGCCAAAGTTCTTTCCGATGAAGAAAGTGCAAGACATGACCAACCACAGTGGCTTTACACAACACATGTTTAAAGACAATATAATATTCAAGACGAATAACTATACATACTATACTATAGCTGTCTTGAGACTCTGCATTTCTACATTGCTCCATCGAGATTCGAAGGTGTGGCCTTGTTGACAACGCCGAACTGCATGCGACCGATGGCTGCCTGACAGAAAGAAAGTCAGAAACTCGGAAAGTGATGAAGCTTTGGAGACAAACCTTTTATAACAGTTTACACACTCAGCATGCCAGTTGGAACCCAAGCTTGTGGCAATTTCCGCAACACTGGTGAACATATTGTTTTCTCAATTGAGCCTTTGGGTTTCCGTACCATATCTGGTTGGTGGTTTCAACCCCTCTGACAAAATATTAGTCAGTTGGGATAATTATTCCCAATATATGGAAAAATAAGATTGATGTTCCCAACCACCAACCAGATATTTGTTTTATTGTTCAACTGTCTACATGCTCTGCCGGTCAAGCCAGGGAAGCTGGGGACACACCAACCATGGGTCAGGTGGTAGACAAGACCTTGGGGACCAAACATATGCGGGAGTCCAATATTAGGGGTATAGGCGGTATAGGATATTTTTCCATGAATCTTGGACAGCCAGAAAACCTCAACCTTGAGGCCTCCAAACTTTGGGAAAGCTTTCAGAATCATATGATGCTGAAACCATGTGAAACCCATCTGAATAGACACGTCCCAACAACATGGAACCCACTTTTTCAATTGGGGTAGGAGCATATGAATAGCGGACACAATTACTTGTTGATTTTCATGCCATGCACAAACTGGGATCGTCTCCTATCGGTAGTGAACATTCTTGTGTTCTCAGACTTTGAGGCGCCTCATGCAAAACAGGGGTATCGGTATAGGGTCGTCCCCTATCGGTAATGAAGGTTTTGCACACTTCTCAGAAAGACCAAGGTGAAGCAAAACTAAATTAATATAAGATTTTGTATTACAATAATTGGATATAATTGGTACTCATATCTGCCAGGAGGGGTGATATCCAATGCTGCTTTTCAGTCACCCGAATGATCGCCAAGTTTCGGAATGCGATGTGGGAAGCGCGGGAACAAAGGTGATGCTTTGTTTCTGAAGCACCTCACACTTTTCCCTAGGCCCCAGCTGTGTGAACAACCGAAACTGGATCCTGCCCTTCATAGTGTCCAACAATCGTGATGATTTGTCATGGCGTGCTGGAAAATCCATCATTTATAGAAATTTTACATTTGAAAACCTCCATTTATAAGGGATTTGCAATTGCCACATTTGATTACAGGAGGGCACATCAATATCTCATCAGCCAACATCATTTCGTTTCCATTCCTTTTTATTAAGGTGTTTTGCTGGCCTTGGATTTGCACCAGAATAATTGACGGTCTTGGTTGCTGCTGCCCGAAATTGGTTTACGGGACATCCGACAGGAATCCTGAAAATGCTGGATGGCAAAAACCATTGGTTTCCTGATGTTTCCTCATCCTCTAATGGAATCAGACAGCCAAGCCCTCCCCCAAAAAAATACACAAGATCAATGTCTATGTTGTTGCTAGTCCATGTTCTTTTCCAAAATCAGTAGGTTAACCATTGTCTAATGCCCAGGTCTCGTGTACTGGTCAAATATGCATCTTTGATCATTTTTTTGCGGGTGATGTCTTTTTCAAAAACAATTTTGGTGGTAATACACGTTTCTTCTCGTTCATTGCATCTTAATTTATGGTAAAACATTGTCAATGCACATGTTTGATCATTGTGGCAGGCAAAAACTCAAAGACTGACAGTTGAAATCTGGCATGTTCATCGTTGTTGCCAGGAAAATCAACAATTCTGCCGCACTGCCGCTTTAAAAACCCACAGTTCTAAGTCCTAAGTCAACTTTGTCACCCCATTTATGGAATAATGACCCCCATTTATCACCATAAATTAAAAAAATATATATATATATGGTAAGTTCATGTAAATTCCCTTTTTCAATAGGTACTGTAAATGATCATAAATCATCTCCAGATGGTGCCAGTCTCTGCCGCCTTGGCACCCCCAGGGGCACCGCCACCACCACCGCGTCCGCGCTCTGCGTGACGCTGCTGCCGTTCTCGGTGTAGGTCACGTTCGCGGTGCAGGAGACGTCGCCAAAACCCATGCAGTACTCCACTTGGGTGACCTCAGTGGGAACGTGCCCAGGTGCTGCCCCAATCTGCCCCAGTTCAGAATCGCTAAGTTGGTAAAAACATGTAAACACATATACAAACATGTAAAAACTGGCTGAATTCTATGATTCGTGGCAAATATAGCGACTATCTCGAACCAGTTAGTGGAGTCCGAGAAAAAACTAGCTGAATTCTATGGTTTATGGTAGGCACATCAAACTAGTTCATGGGGGTTATAAACAAACATCACTAGCGGGAAGTGGGAAGGCACTTTGTGTAGTTAGACAAAGCTGCAAAGCCTGGCGCTGCGACCCAGGAACAAAGTTGCATTGCGGCGGATGTAAATTATATACTTAGACCAGTAATCATGACTCAAATTGCATTGTAATTTTCACTCAAAAAACACAGATGCAAATCCCATTGGGCACCAAACTGTCAACCAGTTTAAAGTTTGAAAGACAGTTCTCGCTGCGCATCCATGTAAATGCCTGATGATGCCTGCAAGGCACAAGAGATAATAGATTGGTGGAAACAATGATGCATATGTGATGTAAATATATTATGCATACGTACAAACATCATACAACCAATAATATGTATATATATATATATATATGTACATAAATAGATATGTTTAATAATTGCTTTATCTATCATACTAGTATTATAAAACATATTCGCCCCAACCCGGACGTTGCTCCACACTTACAATCATCATGATCATCATGATCACCATGATCATCATGATCATGATCATGATCATCATCATCATCATGACATTATGATCATCATCACATCATGATCATCATCACATTAAAATTTTCCATCCCTCTGAAAAATATGTTGACCGGGGTAATAACATCAACTGTATCTTCATGTTGGATGAAAATTCGCCACCCTCTCTGAACAATATGTTGAGTGGGGTAATAACATCAACTTTATCGTCATAAGGGATCAAAATTCGCCACCCCCTATGAAAAATATGTTGAGTGGGGTAATAACATCAACTTTATCGTCATAAGGGATCAAAATTCGCCACCCCCTATGAAAAATATGTTGATTGAGGCAATAACATCAACGTTATCTTCATATCCACCTGAAGTCAGACGCGGCGCAACGTCAGGGTTGCAGCGAACATATTAAAACAGAAAAACAAGCTATTATTGTAACACATTTAAATATCCTATATTAAATCACAGCATGTTGTCTAAGCAAAACATTAACGTCTGATATATCAAAATAATCTGTATTTATGTTGTATATTAGATGATATATGTTATTATGTTATAACTACATATGATGTTAACGTATATATATATATCAAAAGTTGAATTACATCGTATCATATTATCATGTCATCCAGGGTTGGCATTATGCCTTGCCTTATCATGAATATAAATCTAGAATCAAACAGTTGGCAAACACAGATTTACATTTAAACCTCTGGACAATAGCTTAACAACAGACTTGGGGATACGAAGTAGCTAAAACGTGGTGACGCCACAAAATATGCTCGTTATTGCTCGTTGATTTACACACCCCATTAACTATAAAAGGTGGTGCCAAATAGTGTATGATATTTAGATATATTTAGTACACGGTGGTGCCTGAGCTCGGTCGTGAAGTTGGTTTATTTCACGAATAGTTCACCGTTGAGTTTTATGGTAGATATAAAGAAGAATCAGTTACCGGGCCTTGACCAACGAACTTAATTTGGGGGGGACCACCTTCTAGAAATCTAGTACAATACAAATATATACAAATATAATATACAACATATCCAGTAACAATCATGGCAGGTTGGTGGTTTTAACCATCTTGAAACATATTAGTCAATGGGAATTATTATCCCATATATGATGGACAATAAAAAATGTTTGAAACCACCAACCAGATGGAGTAACCAATCGCAATTACCATTAAAAATACATGGGTGATTATTTATAAAATCATGTTGACATAATGTGGACCGTGTGTACCCAGTAACAAAAATGGACATTGATGTTTTGTCTTTGTCAAGGCACGCAAATGCTCCATTAATTATGTTCAAGCCATTTTTCACTAGAATATTGCCATGAATTGTTTGTCTGAAAATAAGTACCCGGCAAATCCCATGCTCCATGCTCTATCGTCATTTTGTCCATTAAATCGCATCTTTTATGGGTATCCCGGGTATCCCCATTTTTTCGAAGACAGGCACATCTTTGTTGATTCCAACCCCCACCTTCAGGCAGTCATCGGCCCCACCTTGGCTCCAGTCTTCACAGTCCCTCCAGCGCTTTGGAAGCGCTGAACCAGGCCGTTCACTAGGGAGACGTATCCATCCAACATCCTCACAACAAGGTGGAGCCCCTATGGCTTATAACTATGTACATGAAGGCAACATGCCAAACTAGGCCATCAGCGTCCTAACGCTTTAAAGCTCTAGCTTACGCTGTCTAACTTCTCGTGCACCACCTTGTGGCCCCATGTCCAGCCCCATTTTTTCCGTAGGATTTTCCCAAATCCAATTTACATATCATGACCTATCCCCAACTGCAGGATGACAAACCATCTTGAATCACCATGTTGGATGGTTCAATTTTTCAATCCACGCGGGAGCGGTTGGGTAAACCAACCGAAAATTTCCGAGCGTCAACCACTCGGGACCGCCTGTCTCTTCCACCTCGCTCTGGTAGATCTTTGCTGCGGACACCAAATCCACGGCGGAACCTTCGTTGAAGTCCCAGCCCGCCAAACCTCACGAGGGACAGGCTCGTCGTTCAACAAAGGGGAGGATATGCGCAAAACATCGCAAAACATCATGCTGCTGGTTGTTTTGTTGAACGGGATTCTCTGTTAAATGATGATAATCGCGGGGATATTGGGCAATTAGAAAAAAATCATCAACCAACAGGGTTTTGAAGATTGCATATTAGTGAAAACAATTCCATGCAATGGTGAGTTGTTGGTGTTTGATCATAGAGGCTTGAAACAGGGAAAAAAGGGACATCTATGGTACCAGCCAGCCGTGCTACCAGTCCTCCTCGATTAAATCCACCCAAAAAATCCCCAAAAAAACAACGAGGCCTTTTTGTTACGACTTGTTGGGACGCTTGCCTGGCCTTTGCTGGCCACCCGTTGGATTATATGAAATACGCGGGGTGGTAGGTTTTGTGGCTGATCTGAATCCAAATCATTCTGAATCAAATCCCACGCTGATAATCTTGATTGCGTGAATCTGACCTGTGGCTGACCTGTGGTCTATCCATAAGATGTTTCTCTTGAACTACTTCATGATACTTCATGCAACCTGGTCCATCCATGACTTGTTCGCTCGGCACCAAAGCATGCAGGACCCCGCATGCTTCCCTCATCGAGACAGGCAATGGTTTGTCATTTTTGGGGTCCCATATTACCCGGGGTTGGTTTCCGACCTCCTAACAATCTCTTTGACGATGATGCCCGGTTTTGGCATACCATCACTGATCTACTGGATGTACACTACAATGGCAACATTTTTCATCAACCAACTAGTGGGACACCAAAATTTTATCTGGTCAATGTACAACTATAAAACCATCATCTGCGAAATTCTGCACCACCAGAAATAAACAATTAAACAACAGTAAATTAACATAGACCTTGGTAGATAGGGGTTGGAAGATTAGTTTCCTCTAAAAATTGGTGATTTTCAGGGTCCATCTGTTAATATACCAGAGGGTAAACAACAGTCTTAAGATTATTCCCTAGAAATCACCCATACCCAGGTCATCCCACTTCACCAGAAATGTCCACATCCTTTCTGTTGAACTCCCATCATGACCATCATCTGTGAGCCCAGCCACACATTTCTCCCTCCACGGTGTTGAAAAAGGCGGGGTCGTAGGACCTCAAAAACCTGGGTGTTGTGCCGGTTCCCACAAAATGGTGCCCCCGGTTCTTGGCGATGTTGGTGCAAATTCTATGATTTATGATAGATATGATATAACTAAATTATATTTAATGGGGTTTATCAACCAACTTAGAACTGGGTGGCACCAAATCGCGGTAGATTCGCCAAAGTATGCTTGCAAAACCTTGAAAAAGGATGTAAACAATTTGAGGAAATTAACATGAATCCAACAAGAATAATCCATTGGCTAGGTTATAAAAACAAATGCCATGAGGTTCCCAAATAGACTATCAAAATAGTAGCCTCCTGTCAACTCCCATATCATAGCCGTGGAGTTTTCCAGCTCCACGGGACTGCTCCAGCGTGCCAGTGGCACCGTGGCCTGGCTCAGCGTCCCAGCACCAGAGCTCCCACTTCGCCACTTGGTTGGCGTTGTACTTCCTGAGCTCCGATCAGATCCATGGTGTTTTCCGCACAACGAAATCATATGACGTTCGCCAAGAAACAAAAACACCCCTGGTCAATGCTCGAAAAAAATATGTAGATATACATGTTGTTTTTTTGTTCCATATCTATGGTAGTTTACTGGAGGGTAAACCCAAAGTCTAGATATATCTGTATATGCAATGATTACATGGGTCACCGAGTAAAAGCGGTGTCCTGTGACTGGCCATGTTGGAGAAGTGATAGCGTCACGCAAACACACGCTCACACACACACACACGCATATCATACGGTATACATCATAGATAGTAAAATGTATAATCACATATATATATATACATATATATAATATCACACACACACACATTTTTAAATATGTAGATATATAATTGTATATATATATATATATATGTATTCAATTCATATGATGTATATATCGAACACACACACACATATATATATATATATATATCGGAGGATATGTCATTGCCGTGCTTTTCATTGCCGCTGTCTCGTATCAGGCGGTGACCAGCCAGTGATGAACCTCGGTGAAGCTAACCTCATCTAACAGTAACTCTAGTTAGCATATGTTACCATAGAGCCTATGGTAAGCCTAGTTATAAGACTGGTTGGTGGTTGACCTACCCCTCTGAAAATATTGGTCACTTGGGATGATTTTCCATTCCCAACTGAATGGAAAGTCATAATCCATTCATGTTCCAGTCACCACCAACCAGATATATTGTTATTCCAATTATTAACCACTATTAACCACTATTAACCATAGATTAACCATAGATTAACCATAGATTAACCATAGATTAACCAGAAGATGTTATAAGTTATTCGCAAACCATTCTGTTGGAGATATGGCTGAGTCATCCTGTCACTGAACAGCCTTGCTTCGTGTTGTTACCTTCAGCACTTCGATGCATTGCGGCAAGAGTGATACGAACACATCCATCGGATCCATGGTGCTGGTATATTAATGCTAACATAAAGGGGGTATATTGATGGTAAATGACACCATATATAGCATACATGGATCCTATGGGACATAACACAACTTACCACAACGACCAACGACGACCTGATCTTTTTCCCAAGGCTCACCCCATCCTTGTCATAGCCTCAGGGACGAGTTGGAAGTGTCTGCGGTAGATCTGAAACTTCAAGGTCCGCTACAGACACTACAAGTGTTGCTATCATATCAAAATATCATAAACAAAATCCACGGAATCTTAAGATGTCCCGATTCGAATTCTTCGCATTAAACCAGCACTCCACCAATGTCTCATCAAAACTTGCTCAAGATATCTCGATCCGATCCCATTGCAAGTCCGAAAAGTAACATACCGTATACCCCACTAAAACATACCTAAAATTACACATCAATTTCAATCATCTTTTTGGCTTACAACTTACCTTGCGGTTGCTTAAGGGCGCCATTAAAACAGGTAACTCAACAATTTTCAGTAGATTCCAAATTTCTGGTGAAGCGCGAAAATCCAAACCGCATCTTCAACTCTAGCTCCAAAAATTCTCAAAACCTCCAGTCTTCCAGAACTTTCTCCCAGCTTTCCCCAGAGTTGCCACCGAGCGGCGGCAGAGTTGCTTGTCCGGATGGTCCTCGGTCCGCAGATTCAGCCCCTGCACCACCGCGGTCAGCGGGTTCTGCACACTGGCGCCGTGCACCCAGGAGGCACCGAAGTCTGCGGGGAAGCCCAAAGACGTGTCAGTCCAGGTGCGGCCGCCTTAGCGGAGCCGGAGGTGATTTCATGGCGCTTTGTGAAGAAATGGTGCAAGATGTGCAAGGGATGATGTTGTCAAACTTGAATTTAAGCCATGGACATGAAACCGAAAACTTGGGATTTTCATTGATTTTATATGATTCAATGATTTCTCTGCATTGCCAATGTTGGAACCCTGTGGCCTGCCCTTTCCGCTTCGCCACCAGTTTCACCAAGGTGCATATCACATATCACTCCCAAACTCAAAATGGCTATCTATCCATGGAAATTCAGAAGTCCATTGTGGCCACTTCAACTGATGAGTCAAGATTCTCAGCTTTGGCCTAAGTTAGAATTTCGATTAGTGAGAATTTCCGTAAAACACCTTGAGATTCTTGATCGTAAAAACTGAGATATTTCTCTCGAAAAAATCTGGTTAAATTTGGGTAACCACCATGATCAATCCCGATCCAATCAGCAACTGGTTAGGAGCCCTGGTGAAAGTGGTGATGCTATCTCCATGTATCTCCCACTTTCTTACCATGATTTGACCTCCAAATGAATTAACACTCAACCATTCTGTGCAGTTTTTTGTTTTTTAAATGGTGGTTTCCCTTCCAAGAAAGTCTTTCCCTGCGATTTGGCACCGAAACGAGCCGTCACGAGCCCAACAACCCAAAGCCTGACAACTGCAAAAACCATTTCCACAAAAAAGCGGTGATGTCCCCACACTTCCCCAGCTTCAACGGTCCCGTTTTTGTGAAAACTCATGTGTATCCATTTTTCAGCTCTCACACCAGCATAGATTGTAACAAGGCTCCCAACCAAAACAAAGGATCTAAACAACATCCAATATAAATAATAGCATCCAATATCTGGATCACATAGCATTTTACTCTCCAGCTATTTGACATACAGTGGCCATGGAAAATTGTCTCATTTACAGATGACTTACCTATTAGACATGGTGATCTTCCACAGCTGATGCTAGTAAAACATGGTGATTAGATGGTACTTTCATCAAATCTGGGTCAATTACCCTCCAGTAAATTAACATAGACCCTGCCAGATAGGGGTTGGAAGGCTAGGTTCCACTAAAAATTGGTAATTTTCAGGGTCTTTGTCAATTTACCAAAGAGTATAAGTCACTTACCTGACCTAAGATGATGTTGGGATACTTACCCCTACCATAATTTGAGGTCACCATGAGGTTCCTTTCTATTTTGCACATTTATCGCTTCATCTCAGCTGGTTAGAGTAACATAGAGTAACAATAACTGGTTGGTCGTTTCAACCCTCTGAAAAATATTAGTCAGTTGGGATTACTATTCCCAATATATGGAAAATAAAAAATGTTCCAAACCACCAGCCAGTATAAATATCTCCAAAGAGCAACTATATCGCCACTAATTTACTAATTTATATACTACCAAACATCTAACCAATCTAGTTTATATGACCAGCATATATATATAAAGTTTGGTTAGATTCTATTATTCCTCGCACCACGCCTGTAAAGAGTCTGTAAAGAATATGGGGAAAACATAGTAACACAGGTAATGCTATGATTTAATTTGAGATATTCATAGTAACTATAACCAAACATACCCTCTGTAAACTAACATAGCTGTGGAACATCACAATTTTTAGTGCGTCAATCAACTGTTTCTATGGCCATGTTCAATTTTCAATAGCTATGTAACAAATTGCCATAGGGTATAGTTATAGTTAAAGCTATGGTAGTATAATTACCAATGATTTGAACGAGTTAATTATAGCTACCATATTGCCACATGATTTAATATGATATGACCATTATTAACTATATTAACAGTTAATATTGTATATAATATTAATATACCATTGGTAGTTAAAAATATGATATATCAATAGATAATTATCAGTTATCAATGACTCTGACTCATGACCATTATTGATAACTATAATTGATAACTATAACTATAGCTATTGATAACAATAACTATTATATATCTGGTTGGTGGTTGACCTACCCCTCTGAAAAAAAAATATGAAGGTCAGTTGGGATGATGACATTCCCAATATATGAATATATTATATGGAAAAAAAACATGTTCCAAACATTTCCAAACCACCAGCCAGTTATTATTTTGATCTGACTATAACCAAACATAACCATCGGCTTCGCCGAGTCGCCCAAGCGATCCCTGCCCTCGAGCAGCGTCACGCTGTGGCCCTCCGCCTGCAGCTTTCCGGCGGCGCTGATGCCGCCCATGCCGGCGCCCACCACGATCACGTCCTTTTTTTGGCGGGGAGAAAAGAGGGACTTGACTCGGAGATCTGGGCATTTTACCCTCTGGCAAACAGCCACATAGCGAACTGGAAAATCACTATGCTATTAATGGGTAAATCCACTATTTCTATGGCCATTTTCAATAGCTATGTTAGTTTACCAGAGGGTATATGGGATCTTATTTGGGTTTTTGGATTTATCGGGATTTTGCATGGTTTGTTTGTAGGGATTCTATTTGTATAGGGATTTATAGGGATTCTACAATGATTTCTTTTGGGGATCGGGGATTTTGGGGATTGAACTGGCAACACAGTGGGGATGGATTCATTCGGTTTGTGATAGCTAAGTTCGTTGACTTAACTGCTGAGTTCATGGTAGATTGGTTAAAACTAAAAAGCAACAAGCAGAACTGGGGGGTCACCACATTGGGGAAAATGGGTTGAACTTGGAAATGGACACTTTGTATGGGAGGTGAAAATCAAGTGGTTGATCCGAATATCCCCAAGAAAATGTGATCTCAAACATTCTACATCAAATCATCCCAACATAACAGCATACCCTCAGGCTTCTTGCAGCTATAAAACAGACTTAACAGAACTCCTTTCACAGCTCTCCATCCTTTCGGTCACTCAAGGCCTAATGCCTTCGCCCTTCCTAACGAAGTTTAGCGCCCTCCCAATCATTTCAAAAGCATCACAAACTCCACTGTTTGACCATGTTTGACCGCTAGAAACTTTGGCAAACATGGTTTTATAATGTTTTATATTCTTCACAGAAGCCAGCTTCGCTTGGTTTCAACATCCCAATACGGCAGGGGAAGTAAAATACCCCACATGCCGCAAGAGACGGATCAAGCTATTCAAAACAGGCTTCCCCTTCTTCCTCTGACTTCTCTATTTGCTTCACAAACATGGTATGGCCATGGCTGCTACTTGCATGGGGTTCCACCCATCAACAACAGCCCCAGGAGCCAAGCCATCCACCGCTATCAGCACACAGAGCAACGCTCCAGCGAGCTCCCTACACGCCATGGTGCAACTCTCACACCGCTTCGCAACCCTTGAGCCACACCATAAAAAAGGTCTCAAAGGCTGGTTGTGGTGCTACATCTCAGCTGGCTCTATATCCTATCCCAGTTCAGGAGAACATGGATTTTTTATGGATGTTTAAAGTTTAGACATGGCGTATACTCGGACATGGGTGACCATTTTTTTGGGGTTCAGGCATGTTCAGGCTGCTTCGCTGGCATTTTCCCATGCTCATCCAATATCTTGAGACGATGTTTGTCCATTTGTTCTCTCTCCCTTCGTTGATTCAAAGAAATAACAGCAACACATATGAGACTTATGTAAGATTCTCAAGTTATCTACATAATATGAACTCAGCAAGTATCTGATGACTCCCCAGGTCGCCCACAGGCCCCAAAAACGAGGCGACTGAGAGGCTTAGCTGAGAGGCTTAGCTGAGAGGCTTAGCTGTGGAAGCCATGGCCAAAGAGGAAAGTTCGATGCTTAAATGGTGATGTTCCAGCTCGCAAACTGTTAAATTGCCAAAGCGCACTGACAAAAAAAGTGGGGGGCTGTCCACTCGTGGTTGCACTTAAGTGGTGATGTTCCAGTTCGCAAACTTGTTGAATTATTGGAGGGGATCATTTGCAATTTACTGACTGGTGGTCAAGGGGGGGTACTCCCCCAAGTAAGTAGTGAGATGAGGACATCCATAATATCATGCTTTGAATCCAAATTCAGGAGCAAAATCATCTACTTATATGGGCTGTGCGATGAATTAACTAGTTAGTAACTGGGTGACAATCCATTATTTAGCTACTTACTAACCACTTCACTAATCCCGATCTAAATATGTAATAATATGTAAGTACTCTCCTGGTGAGGCTTCCATTCTCGCACTTGAGGATCAAAGGACCTTAGGACCTTGTTGTTTCTGTCCCTGGCATCATGATGTCCTGGAATTGGGGACTATTAGCTTTGCCAGGGACTTGAAACCACCCCGACCCCACAGAAAAAAGCTGGGGATGCAACCTGCATTGCAGCTGAAACCAACACGGCCCCAGAGGAGAAAGGCCGTGAAGGCTTGAAGCAACGCGGCTCTTGGATCACAGGAGATGCATCGACTCCAAGGTCGTTTTTTGAGCAAACATCAAGGGTCACATCAGATGTTTTCAGCAGTAGACACTCAACATCATGTTCAAGATGACTGACACGTTTTTCCTTTTTATCAACACCCCAAAAAAACGAACAGTATAAAATCGTATACATATACCAAACTATAGCGTTACAAATCACCCAAACTAGTGATTTCGATATATAATTCACCATCCCCAATTTCACCCATGTTTATAGGTGGTATTTTTTTTAATGTTGGTCAAACAATACTAAATCATCCCCCAGTCATCACCATGTTTATAGGTGGTATAAACTTACCGTTCCCAGTCATGGGTGGTAAAAATGGAATTGTTTTACCAGGCCTGGGAGGTCCAGCTTGCACATCGGGGATCAGCTCGAAGGCTGCAAGCCTGAGTTTCAGCACCACGGCCTTTAAAGGTGGGCCAAGTGCAGTCGGGTGGAGATCTGGTAATGTTGAAATATATGCTTTAAAACATGATAATATATATATATACATATAAATATACAGTAATATAAATGTAATATATATATATATGTATATACATATATATACAACATGATATATATATATATATGTGTATGTATGTATGTATGTATGTATGTATGTATGTATGTATGTATGTATGTATGTATGTATGTGTGTATGCATATGTGAATTCATTATGAATATGTCAAAAGTATTCAAAAGTAAATGTCCTTTGGATTCGATGACTGGATTTGAGGAGCCAATGACGCCGTTTTTCACTGGGCTTGGTGGGTGATTTTTTCGGCTGTGCGTTTGTTTCTCCATGGGTTTACCATGCTTTGACATGCACATCTTCTCTCACTTTGTAGGGAACAAATGACTTCATACTCATGTTTGACCAGATCTGGATGCAGCAACTCATTTTTGTTACACCTACCCTTGGGTAAACTAACAGTTCCATGTGGAAAACCAGCCATTTGTAAACAATTCTCCTGGTGGTTTTCCCATGGCTTTTCCACATCATATACCATCTGGTTATTTAACATAGCCATGGAAAATCACCATTCTTAATAGCTAAACCATCTATTTCTATGGGCCAGCTATACCATGGCAAACTGTTAGTCATAACCAGAGGGTATCCCATGATGTTATAGCCCATGATATTCCCATGATATTTCCTAGAGTCTCCGAGGTCCGGATTCCCGCCGCGTTGCACGCGTTGCGGGGTTAGCCAAGCAACAGCTTTCCCTGCGTGGGCACACCACCAGGAACCGGTTCCAGCTGAAACCACCTGCCGCTGCGTTAAAAATGGTGGTTTTCTATGGCTACGTTAAATACCCAGATGGTAAGTTTTGAGGTACCCATGCCACTTTTCTGTACCTCTTATCCAACAGTTGTCCATGGATTGATTGCCCATGTTTTTTTCAGCAATTATCCCAATATCATCTCATTACTACCCTCTGGTAAACATACAAAAAAACTATGGAAAATCACCATCTTTAATAGGTAAGTCAACTATAAATGGTCCATTTTCAATAGCTATCTTAAATTACCAAAGGGTATCTCATAATGATCCCATTGTTTATTCAATGGTAGTGTAATGAAATGTAATGACTATCATTGTTTCCCACATGTCTATCCAATGCTTATCTCATTACCATGGTTGTAATAGTTGATAATAATCCAATCTCATTGATCATTCACGATGATGATACAATAAATCAACTATAATTATCCCATTATGTAACACTACAATTAGTCATCCACTGATTATCTCATAGTTTACCATGTTTCCCCAATATAATCTCATTACTATCTCATAATTATCCCATTGTTTATCCAATGATTATCTTATTACTATCCCTATGGATCCATGGCCACCGTCTGAGCAAATTATACCCCAAACACTTCCTAAGATTCTTCCAACTGATTATTTCAATGGATTGGTTTAAGGGAAAATTTACAGGAAAGCCCCATATTTAATGGGAAAATCGATGGTTTCCGGTTAAGATTTTCCCTTAAACCAAGCCATTGATTATTGTACCCATTGTTTATCCATTGCTATCTCATTACCACCATATTTCATCCCATGATTCTTCCAACTTCCCGGCGCCTGGGAGATTTCTTCCACTCCTGCGGCAAGGCCTCGGGCTCCGACGCCTTGTACCTGCACCCGATTCGGAAACACCCGGGCTTGGAGCCAAGGAATTGGTTTAAACCTAGTTTACAATAGTGACTATTGAAACTATTGGATTTATAGTTAGTAGAGTTACTATTGGTTTATAGTTGGATTGTCGCTCTTAGAGTGACTACTGGTTTACAGTTACTAGAGTTACTATTGTTGTTTCCTCCCAAGTTTGGTTCAACATGCTATAGTAGGTAAATATTTAATACGAGTATTCTAGTCTATATAGGGCTTCTATCCACCTTTCTTGTCTCGGGATTTGGGGATTGTTTGCTAAGAAGCCCCCATATATATATATATGTATGTATGTATGTATGTATGTATGTATGTAGGTATGTAGGTATGTAGGTATGTAGGTATGTAGGTATGTAGGTATGTAGGTATGTAGGTATGTAGGTATGTAGGTATGTAGGTATGTAGGTATGTAGGTATGTAGGTATGTAGGCATGTAGGTATGTAGGCATGTAGGTATGTAGGTATGTAGGTAGGTAGGTAGGTAGGTAGGTATGTAGGTATGTAGGTATGTATGTATGTATGTATATAAATGTATATAAATGTATATAAATGTATATAAATGTATATAAATGTATATATCTATGTACATATATATATATACTGTAGTTATTGTTAGTATGTATGTAATATGTAATTGTGTATGAATATTTCTGCGTTGGTATGTTTTGTAAATGACCTTCAAACTCCATTTAGGAAAAACACATGGGTCTATACCCACCAAAATTTGCAGAACCCCTTTTTCAAACCAAACCCACATATAAATGGATTGAGGACAATTGAAGCTGGAAACCATGGTTTTGCCTTCAGCTTCAGCCAAAGGGATTGAGCCACCAGTCTCAGAAAATATAGTTTAATAAACTCAGGTTTACAAAATGCTTCTGAACACATTCAAACACAATTAGGAGAAAAACGGCAAACAACTTGGAACCCTCTCACTGGACACCAAGTCCCTCACGGTGGGGTGTCTTTTTGGCCCCCCCGAGATCCTTCTAAACATAAACGAGTACAGTATACAATATGACCATGTATATAAAACTCTTAAGCCCTTGAAGACTTTGTCTGAAAACAGCATCATTGCCCCAAATTAGATGCTTTATCATCATTTAACCCTTAGATGAAGGTATACCCCATTTTCAAACGCAACAGAGTCACCTTCATAGCAGCCTGGCCTCATCTGCACCATTGGTTCAAAGGATCCCTCGTCGCTGTCCTCGCCCAAGAAACTCCGTAAGAACTGATGGAGTTATTTCCACCATTTATAATTAGATGGGATAAACATCTATGTCTTATATCAAACATTAGCCTGTTTGTCTGTTGCCATGTCCGTATGCAAAATGTGGAGCCCAGGGGGCAGCCCATGAGCAGCCCCAAATGGAGCCCCAATGTATGTTAAAGACCCATGTTGGGTCTGAAAACAATCAATCTTGGTATGAAACAAATCTCTTGAGTCAGGTGACCCAAGTCTGTTTGGACAACATATTGGAGCGCCAGTGCCACACTTTGAGCATAGTCATCGAAGGCCATCAGCCCATAGGGTTTTGGCTTGAGCATGGTGATTTCAATGATTTCATGGAATAGGTGTTTTTTGCTTGAGACTTGGATTTTGTTACCGCATGGTGACATACTTATTGAGTTCACGAAGCATTTTTGACAACCTGATTTTGATGTTTGACCGGGGGCTATTGCCATGAAGCGCTTGCACGGCGAAGTTTTGGCAGCAGCAGAATTCCAGCGGCAGTAGTGATGATGAACCAGCCCCAGACATCTAGTAGCAAATCATTTTTTTCCTATTTTGACACCGGGTGGCATTTTTTTGGAATTTCATTGCAATGGTCATACCATACATTGCAATTGCGTTGGGCAGGGAGTTTGTGAGAGTGCTGTACAGTGCTTGGGGCACTCTTCCCACTTCCCGTCAGCTCCTTTGATGTAAGGAAGCTGCTGCTACATCAACGTTTGCACCATCTGAAGTTGCACGCGAAGACGCGTAGCAGTTTTCAGAGACTTGTCTAGTGTGGAGGACGTGGTGTCAAGGTAGTGTTGGATGGTTTGATGTCTAGGCTGGCTGAATGAAATTCCGACATGTTTTTTTAGGCAACTTGAAACCTCTTTCCTTTTCATGGGCACGGCGCCCCCCCAATGCTTGGCACTTGGAATCTGCCGTTGCTATATAGTTGGTGTGCAGCAGGAGATCTATGACAAGGACAACTTCGAATATGGTCCAATTCATCACGGTGCATTGCCGGGAATCTGGTCACCTTCCGGATTGATCCATGCTGCAAAGAGCAGGCCAAGATTGAGCTAGGGGTAGCACGGCGGTAAAACATACTTCTGCGCATTGGCAAGAATATGCTCATTTTTCAGTGACTTTTCTTGGCTGGATACTGTGGTGATGACAACTGACATTGATTACGTGCTGACGCCTGTTTGTGTGCTATAATAATTCTGATTTTGAGTCTGTGATTATCTCAAAATTTGCTCCTTTTCAATCATTCTCCAGCGTTGGCAGGAAATTGCCTTTGCTTCGAGTGACCTCTTCCATTGGCTGGTTGTGCGGGATGTAGCTTAGGCTGGGGCTATTGCACTGATCGTTTGGATTTGGACGATTTGCAGGCGCCAACAGTGGCGGCCAAGGCGCTTGGGCGCACCTTACATGCTGAGAACTTCTCAGAGCTGATATGGAAATTTGACCCAGTAAGGATAGTCAGGATTCTCCTTTTTGATTCTGTGACATGGGGTTGGTTCCCACTTTGGGCTGCACTTTGGGCTGCACTTCGGGCTGCACTTTGTTCCACTTTGCCACCAAAACTTCCCCCCAGGAACGGTTCAGAACGGTTCAGAACGGTTCTGAACTATTGTGGGGGTGTTTACGCATGGTGTTTGGGCACGTTTGGACCAGCTTTTGGGAGTTTTTTGTGTGTTTATTGTTGTCTTAAATGATTTTCGCGGCTTCAATCCACCTGGGAAGGACCTGAAGAGGAAGGACTCTACAACCCAAAAAAACGGCTGTGAAATCGGAGCTGGGGATTGAGCCTTTCCAAGGCTTTGTGCAGCGCAGAAATTAAATTGTGATTGTTATGTTTACTTTTATTAATATTCGACTTCTCTTTTACGACTTACACAGTGTGAGACGTTTTTCTTTGCTGCGACATTTTTTAATATAGAAACTGCCCTTCCCTTTCATTAATAACTTCACAGCTTTAAGACCACGTTTTCAACATAAAAATCATAAAATATTGATATGGAAAAAACATGTGCCAAAACACAGCCCCAAGACATCTGCCAGGAAACCGTTCTGAACCGTTCTTTGTAGAAAGTACCAAAAAACGCAAATAGTTCAGAACCGTTCTGAACCGTTATGGAAACGGAACCGTTATGAACCGTTCTTTGAGGGGTGAAGTTTTCATCAGAGAACCGTTCTGAACCGTTCTTTGTGCATCCCAAAGTAGTGTTTTCTGTATTTATTTGAACAATATTTTTCAACTTGTTTTCTTTTACGGATATCTGATATCTTAATCATTCATCATATGATTTAAAACATCATTGCATGTTGAATCACTTCGCTTCATTTTCAACACATATCATTTAACTACTTTAGTATCATTTCATCATACCACATCTTATCACCATGTATCGCATCAAATATTTTCATCATGACAACATCAAATCACGGAGCCCTTTCTTCCACGTTTCCACGCTATGGTAATTCCACGGTATATAGACATAGACACAGAGACACAAATCGTACCGAAATAACATACCATAACATTCCACATGGAGTCATGCAATGTCAATTTGCATCATGTCATAAGTCATAATTATAGGTCAAGTCATACCATCACATCATATGAATCATATCGCAACATATCATGTCCAAACTCAACAAGTGCCTAAACTTCAAACTTGTTTTAAAGCTTCCTATTGGACTAATCCTGCAGCGCTCTTAATTCCAACTGTGCGCAGCTGGCTTTTCAAAAAGGGCATTGCTGCTCTTGGACATTTCGGCAGTTCGGGAAGTTTCCACGAAGGTAGGGTGATTTTTTTATTGGGAAATTGAATATCAACAACAGTTTTGACATCAATCTGGGCTTGAATCAGGGCTATGTATGGTGCTATGTATGGGGCTGTGTTTTGGAGAAAGAATCTCTATACGGAAACTTTGACAGAAACAGCCATTTAAACAGGCTAACGATTGTGCACACGCACATGCACATTTAAAGACTTAAAGAAAATGGGGCATGGATAATCCTTGAAGGTAGGGTCAGGGTGTAAATTTTACTGTGAAATTGAATATCAACATCAGTTACATCAATCCGGGCTATGCATGGGGCTGTGTATGGGGCTATGTATGGGGCTGTGTTTTGGAGAAAGAGACTCTATACGTATAAATTGACAGAAACAGGCACTTAAACAGGCTAATGTTTGATAGAATCTATGTCCAAGTTAATAAACCATACTGCGCGCAACCCACGTTTTAAACCTAGCATGACTGGGGATGTTTTTTTTGCCCCAAAAGTTCATCCAGAGAGGAATACTGACCCGCTACCCTGCATTATGTACCGTGACGTCAGAGTGAGGTCGTTCGCATCAAAGCCAACTATCTATCAGTTAACTAAGTTAACTATCATCAGAGATAGAGGATGATAGAGGTTGGCTATTTCACTATAAGTTAGCTATGTTCCAAATTTATGTCTAATTTCATAGTCCAATAGCTAACCTCTACTCAAACCATGATATCCACAAAAATCGGTCCCATTTTCATGTCAAATTTTGGGTAATCTGCACAAAAAGAATCTTGGACCTGGTACTATAATAATTTAAGATTCAATATCATTCCTATTGCTAGCCACAAAAGAAGGAAATGACCCTTCACTAGTTGATTTCTCGTTGATTTAGCCAAATATCTTCAGCACACCGTGCTATTTTTTGCAAGTCACAAGCAAAGTGATGAGCACGTCAGGGCGCAAGGTGATGTCATCTGGCAGCTTGATGTTCTCCTGAAAAAAACAAGTTGTGGGCTTCCTTGGGTTTCCCCGGGGCCATGGGTAAGCTGTGTGCATGTTTGAATATCGATAACAAACATTATAGACTCTATATAAATTCGAAAATATTTAATTAATTATTATAGATGTGGATATATATATATATATATCTATGAAACAAAAACAAACAAACAAAAAAACAATAAGATTCAATAAGCCATAATTCTTTCAGTGACTTGCCGGAATTCACAAAAGAAGAAGACTGACCGCTGACCGCTGCGGCCAGCCTAACGCCACAGGCATGCAAACAGCAATTGTGAGGGTGGAAGCAACGGAAAAAAGGTAGATTGTCTCAAGTGCTCGACATGAGCACTTGCGGATTGAAGCCTTGCTGGTTGTACAGCCTCCATGAGCCAGCCATCCCCAATTTGAATCTGCGCCGCTTGGGGTCTTCTCCCGGGAAGCCTCTAAGACTTGATTCCAGCTGGGATTGATGCACTGAGTGATGATTTGAGTCCTTAGGAGCGGAGCGAACAGTCCGGGGAACCCGGGCTTGGCCATCTTCCTGTCCCTATTAGACTGTGGCTACTGCTTGAAAATGGACGCCCCAAAGTACATCCAAATACTTTGGACGTCTTGCATGACCAGCACCAAGACTGACGAACATCTGTAAGGTCATTTTGTGGGCGATTTGCCCCAGGGTCCCGTATGAAGCTTAATTTCTTGGGGTCACGTTTGAAAAACTTAGCGTGACAGGCATGACATGGGCAGTAATGGGCTCACATACCAACCATGGCAGTTTACCAAGTAGATAACAAACCCAAAAGATCATACTATCCACAGTGAGCAATTGAGTCTGAGATGGTCACCCCCAAGCAGCTCATTCTTCCCCAGTTTTTTCCCGAAAAGAACGCAATAGTCCGCACTTCGATGGACTCCCGCGTCGATCTGCTCCGCATTCCGGCGGGGCCAATGTGTATGGCCTTTGTTGGTGGCAAAACGGACGGGATGGATAGCTTGGGAAAAGCAGGGAAAACCGGAAGATTTGTGGATTGGCTCAACTCATTCAAGTTGCATTCTTGCCCCTCCAGTGGAACAAAAAATAAAAACAATAGCTATAATAGCAGCTATAGCCTATAGCCCAAGCTGGATGATTAAGGCCACATGGATACCTACAGGTCGAACTTGGGGTCCGTGGAGGTTGAAAACACCCAGTGGCCGAGTGCAAGACGTAGCGACCAGGCAGTTGGCTGCTCTCGGGATCTGAATCAAAACCTCAAACAGCTTCAAGTATAGCCAGCCATGACATGAAAAAGCGGCATAAATGATGGTTTGATGATATGTTTTTTATTGTTTTATAATTATTATAAAACAATATAAAATTGTTTTCTGAGTTCCAAGTTCCCTCTGATCGAAATTGGATGAAACTGATCGGAACTGTCTCAAAAGCAGTCCAGCCCAGACCCAGTTGGAAGATAACATTATCTTATTCAATAAATTCACATGTATAAACTATGTAATGTAATATATATATATATATATATATATATATAATGTATATATATAGTTATGAAATAGATACATACTATTATTGCATGATATGGCATATTATTATATATTATTGCATGTTTGCCCCAAAATCGTTCACTTAGAAAATACTTCCACTGGACCCCCCCACGCCGGGCCCAGGTTCATTTGAAGATCAACAACTCCTTCTCCGTCAACGCGGGGAAGTAGTACCAGCGATGGAGCTCACTGAACTGTACCAGTGCCATGGGACCCGAGACGCGCTCGGCGAAGCTTTCCGCAGACAGCGCTGGCAGCGAGGCACCGACTTCGGGCGTGGCAGCCAACATCAGCAGGTGATCTTCGGAGACGCTACCAGCATCACCTCAGTTGGGGGTGGCCCAGTGGGCCTGGGATGGCCTGGGCCGATGGTGCGAAAGAGAAAAAACACAGGGTCTGATTCATTCGATTCTGAGGGCACCCTCAAAATCCATCAACATCCCGCCGTGCTTCAAATATCCCCCAGTTTTGGGAGCTTGCGTTGCACATCCTAGGCGCACACTGCCAGGTGGTCATTCTCTACCGGCTCGGGATTCAAATTTCGCCAGGCATTAATCAACAAGAAATGGCCATTGCGATAGGCCGCCAGTTCTTTGTGAGGAACTGCGCGAAGTTGCCATTCGAAGATCTCATGGGCACTCTGGGGCGTATAGTCGCCATGGACCTGGACTTCAAGTCGGCAGTTCATGGCAGTTCATGGCAGTTCCAAGCTGAGATTTCCATGGATTTTCTATGGAGTTCCTGATTCCTGGGAATTTGGACTGCAGCAAAGTGACCCGAGTGTCATAGATTTTGCTCACGAAGTCTGTGCCTCACTCCGATCCCAAGGTGAAGGATTGGTGGTCAAGGGGGGGGCCTGTAGATAGCTAAGTTGGTTTACAACTAGGCTCAGCATGGTTTATGGTGGATGTTCATAGTAGGTATGATATAACTAGTGAGATTGGTTTATAAACATTTATCGTATATCCGGGGGGTAGCTAGGACATTGGAGGAAAATGCCAGCATGATGTAACCAATGTGGAAAACCCATGAAAACCCACCATGAATGGTTGATCATTTTCCGAAGTGAAACTCGTTGATTTCCCACAATCCAAATGAACATTCTATGTTAGTTTACCCCGGGGTAAGTACTGCTCACGGCTTTCAAGAGTGCCAAGTGGGAAATGGAGGTCCTAAGGCTCCACCGCTGGGGACATTCCCCATTTTGATGATCAAAATCCATCAAAGTACTATGTTAATCCATACGCATGAATATAATAATGGTATAGTAGTTATATAAATGATTTGTTAGATCCGAAACAGCCAAGCAACACTGCTATTTCTAATTGCTCAGTTACTCTCCTCCTCAGGTCGTTGATGCCTCACGTTGTGATGAAAGGCCACGACGCGCTCCGCCCCCGTTGCGCGCTGCACGGCAAGGCAGATCTCGCGGTAGTAGCGTTGCCGGACCGTGGGCGTGTGGAAGAAGGTCTCAGCCTGGGAGGGGAATTTCGGAGGACTCGAAATGGGGATTTAAGGAGCGACAAATAGGTTTTCATTTGGACTTAATCATTCAAAAATGGCATTTGAGGTGATTTAAACTATTGTAAATATAGCTAATGATTGAATGGGGATTCAAGGAGTCAAAATGGAGACTAAATCATATAACAATCACTGGCTTGGTTTCTGGAAGAACATACGGGAAATCACCCATTTACAAACCAACTATGAGGGTCTCCTGTAAATGTTTCATTAAAACTCCAATTATGGGAAGGATGGGACAAAGTGCTTTACACTGTGCTAGTGATGTCGAAAATCCTTGGGCTTGTGCACTGGCAACACCTTTGGATTCCGTACCATGTCCTTTTGGGAAGAATAGAGCGGCCGGTTTGGTATATCCGATATATATATATATATATATGTATATATTTTCCGATATATCCATCATTAATCATCGCTTCTTGGTGCGCCACGCCCCTTCCTGTCAACCGTTTCGGTTATGTGTTTCAGGGCATCTAATCTACCTGGATTTGCTCAGTCGATGATATCCATTGCTGGGTAGCCTAGGATAAACCAACATAGATGTAGATGTGGAGAGTTACCACCATGAATGTTGATCGTTTTCCTCGGGTTTTCCCATGGGGAAAACCACACATCTGCTGATATAATTCTAAGAATATTCATATAGGGTTTATATCTCTGTATCTATGATATATCAATGGATGGAGTTCACTATGGTTTTTGGATGTAAATAATATGGCAGATATATCTATGATATATATATATATATATCTATCTATATCTATAGTAGTCATGGGTTTATAAACCAACAAAGATCCCACAAGTGTGGGCCCACCATCTGCCCACCTCCAGCTCCGTTTGGAAGTCAACCACCTGAAAGCCGTGGGAGCTCAAGGCAGGCCCAACCGGCCGCAGCTGCCGCGCGTCTCTGACCAAAACTGGGGCTAGGGTCATTCTCCTGGTGACGAACATGGCGGAAATATCGGGATGGAATATGAAACATAGTGGTTTTGAATGAATAACATAGAAAATTGGATGGATTTGTTTAATATTTGTTATTTGCGACTTGTTTTTTTTAACATTGTGGTTGTTAATTGGTTATTTCCAATCATTCACAGGGAATGTCAAAAATGGGAGTTTCCAGTGGGATTCGATTCCAAGTATCGAACTGGGGATGTACCCTCCACTAAATTAACATAGACCTTGCCAGATAGGGGTTGGAAGATGAGTTTCCACTAAAAATTGGTGATTTTCAGGGTCTATGTTAATTTACTAGAGGGTAATATTCGAATATCATCAGAATATATAGACCAATGGATTGGCGGGAAAATCTGTGGGATTTCCGGCGAAGATATCTTCGGCCAAATCTGTGCATCAGTGTAGCATTTTCTGACACCCTAAGCCCTGGTTGGTGGTTTTTCGCCACACCTCTGAAAAATGATGGAGTTCGTCAGTTGGGATGATTATTCCCAATATATGGGAGAAAAAAACATGTTCCAAACCACCACTTTCTCACTTTCTTGTGCGCGCCATGTTCCAAACCACCAACCAAATACTGATCATGTGATCATGTGTGATCGTAGTACACCATTCCATAGGTATAGATTGAAATACCAACGCTGTAGATGTTAATCTGGGAGGTTGCACCCCACTCCAATGGCGCCCAATTAAACAGCCCAGGAAGGTTCGGTCGTTCCTTGACTACACGATTTTTAAATACCAATTTTCATAATTACAATCATTGGGTTAGTGACTGATCATTGTTTACCCTCTGGTAAACTAACTTAACTATGGAAAATCATCATTTTTAATGGGTAAAGCAACTATAAATGGCAATTTTCAATAGTTTTTTGTATGTTTACTAGAAGGTAGTTGATAGTTCCACCTTGCAGGTTAGTTAAGCCCTTCAATTCACTGTAAGTTTTTGTGGGGTTACCGGGTGCCAAACGATTCTCCTTCAGTCCTAATATGGGGTGCACATTACTTTCGATTCGGTAAAGTGCGTCAGAAAATCCACTTTACAGCATCTGTTGAACGCAGATTTTACTATTTTAATACTATTTTACCTACCGGAATTCCTATAGATAAACATAGTTCACTAGAGTCACTTTCAGTGGGATTCCTTGCCTGTTCAGCCTGTTGTTGAGGACACAAATATCATAGAAATTCATGAAATTCCCCTGACATTGATTTACTCAACGGTTTACTGTCTTGGTTTCATACCCATGACGGATCCATGGTGCTGCTATATATGGTAACATTTACCATCAATATACAATGTTAGCATATATACCATACATGGATCCTATGGGATATCAAAAGATGTCACACCAAATCTAAGGATTTGGTCCGAACCTATCCTTGACACCTCCAGGAGCCTCCAGGCGGTATGGCGCGCTCCTGCCGCAGCGACCATCACGCACATATCTCAGTTCAGCCTGCAGGCTGCGTGCTCCAACGTTGGGGGATGTGGCGTCCTTTGAAAACAGAAACAGCGTATTTTTGGGATGCACAATATACATGTATTTATAGAGTATCCAGCATGTATATACCATAAAAAACATATATATATATAATATGTATGTATATGTATGTATATGTCTTGCATTATGATATGATATGATATGATATGATATGATATGCCCCGCCTATCCCCGCCTAATTATTTACTCATGGCCTTTCCAAAGAACCTGATGCCCGCTAACTCTTAGTCTCTGGGCATCTTTGCAATGTAGCAATAGCAATGTAGCTTGGACTTGAAAAAGGCACAAAGTCACAAAGCTCTAAAGAAACATCAGCTACCCTATGGTAACCATCAAGAATGGTGATTTAATGGGATATTCCTGGGGATATAATTGATATAATGGTTTACGTTTACAACTATATAACCAACTATGATTTTATGGCATGTTATAGGGATATAATTCTCAACAATAGGGGTTTACTCTCCGGTAATCTAACATGGCCTGCCTGGACGTCGCCACTTGACGACCGTTCGCTGGCACATCGGCTCACTTTTCCCAGCACGGTGCCAGAAGCACAGAGCGCGGAGAAGCATCCAGCGGCCGGTAGCATAAGCGCTTGGGTTCAACAGATACAGTTGTAAGGTTAGCAGCCTAAGGGTTGAAGTCAAAGTTCAGGATTGAATAGTTGTTTTCCGGAAATAAAACACAACATCTTGAAAAATAAAATGTAATTAACCAGGCATCAGTAAGTGGATGCAATTCGGATACTGGGCAACCCCATGGCATCGATTTGTTGCGAACATGTTGTGACGCAGTTCTGTTCGGAGCGGGTAATTTTCAGAGTTTCAGAGCCACTGTTTTTCGGATTGATGGTGGTTAAGAACTCCAAGAGGATGTTTTTTTCCTTTGGGAGAGCCTTGGGCCCGGGGTAGTCTTAGATTTTACTCCCGAAGCGGCCCAGAGCGAACACCCGCTTGAGAGGCTCCATGTTTTTCCATGTCACTGCGGCACTCGCTTCTTGTTGGTCACATCCAGAATGCTTCAGAGTTTATATGGATATATGGATATATATATATATATATATATATCATTGTATACCCATGCTCAATGCTTAGAAGTACCCTATATGCCTATATACCGGTATATCATATATCTGATATCTACATCAGATCATTCAAACTCATTCTATATCATTCTATCTATACGTAGTTACATTTGTGTAGGTGTGCACAGCTGCAACGACATTGTGATTTCGCCCGGCCCCAACAAAAACAGTGGATAGGAAGATGGTGGGCCCTCACAGGAGGACTGAAGCCCTGGCAATTGGATGTGCGTTCCCAAGGAGGAAAAAAACCGTGTCAACCGTGTCATTCGCCAGGTATGGCCTCATTTGGAATATGCAACCACACCTCCGGGGTGAAACATCTAAGACATCGCCCAGCCCGAAGTGAATCGCAGCATCCTCTACATGGGCCCCTACGGGGTGACAACTGCCGAAAACCTCTGGAACTGGCAGTTCACCGGGATGAAACATACCATACCAATTCTATGTTCGAAGAGTTTCCTTAATATGTCCATGGGGGTTACTTTTCAGGGGGGGGTCCTACCTGCCATTTTATAGTATAAAACGGTGAGTGCCAACCCCCTTGGGGGTCTATAAATTGAAGGTGCCAACCCCCCTGAGGCACTATAATTTGAACACGGTGGCCCCTAACCAGAGTCCAGAAATTAACAGAAAAAAGCCTTCTGACTATAAAATGGCAGGTGCTGACCCCCCCAAAAAGAATTCATATAATGAAACAGCATGTTGAACATGTCGATAAACATGAGGGATCCATGACATACTTGTTAGATCTTGATATTATCAAAAATAGATCATAGATCATCTTATATTTTCATATATCGATTAAATATCGAAATATATCTGTATATAATTATTGTTAATTATTGAGATGTTTTGAATTGTCCTAGCGTTGCTGTCTGAACCTTTTTCGCCCTCCAAAGATCCACAGAGATATCTCACACAAACATCATACATTTTTTTGACCCCAATGAATCTTCGTTTGATTTCGTCTGCATCGCTATGTGATCTGCTTCAATGAGCAGCAACGAAGAACCAACTGCGAGAATTTGGATCGCACAGGTGGTGATCGCCTCAGTTCCTGTGTGAGATCAAAGACCTGGTTCCCTACTGGCATTATGCTGCTCTAAGTTTTTCCTCGGGCTTGCTTTGCTTCTGAGGTGCCTCTCTTTTTGCATGAGCCCATGTGACACCCCTGCTGGTTTCATATGAACATAAATGAATTGTGCAACCAAACAAGCCACATGGATTGCTTCAATGCATGCCTGCTCTGGCAAAAGCTAGGGTCTGACTCCCTGCATGACCTATAAAATAGCACAGGGGGTGACACATGCGGGTTTTGGGGGTGGCAAATGCGGGTTAGCAAAAGCCAGAATCTATCAAATGACAGGTGTTGACCCCCTGCATACACCATAAAATGGCACAAGGGGTGACAAATGCGGGTTTTGGGGGTGACACCTGCGGGTTAGCAAAAGCCAGGGTCTATAAAATGACAGGGCCTGACCCCCTGCATACACCATATAACAGGGCCACTGCTGTGGCCACTGCAGGTGTTCCCTACTGGCATTATGCTGCTCTAAGTTTTTCCTTGGGCTTGCTTTGCTTCCGAGGTGCCTCTGGCTTCTTTCTGCATGGGCCCATGTGACACCCCTGCTGGTTTCATATGAACATAAATGAATTGTGCAACCAAACAAGCCACATGGATTGCTTCAATGCATGCCTGCTCTGGCAAAAGCTAGGGTCTGACTCCCTGCATGACCTATAAAATAGCACAGGGGGTGACACATGCGGGTTTTGGGTGGCAAATGCGGGTTAGCAAAAGCCAGGGTCTATAAAATGACAGGTATTGACCCCCTGCATACACAATAAAATGGCATAAGGAGTGACAGACGCGGGTTTTGGGGGCGACACATGCGGGTTGGCAAAAGCCAGGGTCTATACAAGGGGTGCCAAATGCGGGTTTTGGGGGTGACACATGCGGGTTAGCAAAAGCCAGGGTCTATAAAATGACAGGTCCTGACCCCCTGCATACACCATAAAACAGGGCCACTGCTGTGGCCACTGCAGGTGTTCCCTGCTGGCATTATGCTGCTCTAAGTTTTTCCTCGGGCTTGCTTTGCTTCCGAGGTGCCTCTGGCTTCTTTTTGCATGGGCCCATGTGAAACCCCTGCTGGTTTCATATGAACATAAATGAACTGTGCAACCAGACAAGCCACATGGATTGCTTCAATGCATGCCTGCTCTGGCAAAAGCTAGGGTCTGACTCCCTGCATGACCTATAAAAATAGCACAGGGGGTGACACATGCGGGTTTTGGGGGTGGCAAATGCGGGTTAGCAAAAGCCAGGGTCTATAAAATGACAGGTGTTGACCCCCTGCATACATCATAAAATGGCACAAAGGGTGACAAATGCGGGTTATGGGGGCGACACATGCGGGTTGGCAAAAGCCAGGGTCTATAAAATGACAGGTGTTGACCCCCTGCATACACCATAAAATGGCACAAGGGGTGACAAATGCGGGTTTTGGGGGCAACACATGCGGGTTGGCAAAAGCCAGGGTCTATAAAATGACAGGTGTTGACCCCCTGCATACACCATAAAATGGCACAAGGGGTGCCAAATGCGGGTTTTGGGGGTGACACATGCGGGTTAGCAAAAGCCAGGGTCTATAAAATGACAGGGCCTGACCCCCTGCATACACCATAAAACAGGGCCACTGCTGTGGCCACTGCAGGTGTTCCCTGCTGGCATTATGCTGCTCTAAGTTTTTCCTCGGGCTTGCTTTGCTTCCGAGGTGCCTCTGGCTTCTTTTTGCATGGGCCCATGTGAAACCCCTGCTGGTTTCATATGAACATAAATGAACTGTGCAACCAGAGAAGCCACATGGATTGCTTCAATGCATGCCTGCTCTGGCAAAAGCTAGGGTCTGACTCCCTGCATGACCTATAAAAATAGCACAGGGGGTGACACATGCGGGTTTTGGGGGTGGCAAATGCGGGTTAGCAAAAGCCAGGGTCTATAAAATGACAGGTGTTGACCCCCTGCATACATCATAAAATGGCACAAAGGGTGACAAATGCGGGTTATGGGGGCGACACATGCGGGTTGGCAAAAGCCAGGGCCTATAAAATGACAGGTGTTGACCCCCTGCATACACCATAAAATGGCACAAGGGGTGACAAATGCGGGTTTTGGGGGGTGACACATGTGGGTTGGCAAAAGCCAGGGTCTATAAAATGACAGGGCCTGACCCCCTGCATACACCATAAAACAGGGCCACTGCTGTGGCCACTGCAGGTGTTCCCTGCTGGCATTCTGCTGCTCTAAGTTTTTCCTTGGGCTTGCTTTGCTTCTGAGGTGCCTCTGGCTTCTTTTTGCATGAGCCCATGTGAGACCCCTGCTGGTTTCATATGAACATCAATGAATTGTGCAACCAGACAAGCCACATGGATTGCTTCAATGCATGCCTGCTCTGGCAAAAGCTAGGGTCTGACTCCCTGCATGACCTATAAAATAGCACAGGGGGTGACACATGCGGGTTTTGGGGGTGGCAAATGCGTCTATAAAATGACAGGTGTTGACCCCCTGCATACACCATAAAATGGCACAAAGGGTGACAAATGCGGGTTTTGGGGGCGACACATGCGGGTTGGCAAAAGCCAGGGTCTATAAAATGACAGGTGTTGACCCCCTGCATACACCATAAAATGGCACAAGGGGTGACAAATGCAGGTTTTGGGGGGTGACACATGTGGGTTGGCAAAGGGTCTATAAAATGACAGGGCCTGACCCCCTGCATACACCATAAAACAGGGCCACTGCTGTGGCCACTGCAGGTGTTCCCTGCTGGCATTATGCTGCTCTAAGTTTTTCCTCGGGCTTGCGTTGCTTCTGAGGTGCCTCTGGCTTCTTTTTGCATGAGCCCATGTGAAACCCCTGCTGGTTTCATATGAACATAAATGAACTGTGCAACCAGAGAAGCCACATGGATTGCTTCAATGCATGCCTGCTCTGGCAAAAGCTAGGGTCTGACTCCCTGCATGACCCATAAAATAGCACAGGGGGTGACACATGCGGGTTTTGGGGGTGGCAAATGCGGGTTAGCAAAAGCCAGGGTCTATAAAATGACAGGTGTTGACCCCCTGCATACACCATAAAATGGCACAAGGGGTGACAAATGCGGGTTTTGGCGGTGATCCATGCGGGTTGGCAAAAGCCAGGGTCTATAAAATGACAGGGCCTGACCCCCTGCATACACCATAAAACAGGGCCACTGCTGTGGCCACTGCAGGTGTTCCCTACTGGCATTATGCTGCTCTAAGTTTTTCCTTGGGCTTGCTTTGCTTCTGAAGTGCCTCTGGCTTCTGTTGCATGAGCCTATGTGAGTTCCCAGTTGGTTCCATATGACGGGTGCAAGCAGACAAGCCACATGGATTGCTTCAACGCATGCAGCAGCTTAGTTTCCAAAAGTGAGGCTTTGCGAGAGCCAAACACCAAGGCCCCTGGTATTCGCTTTTCCTTCAATATGCCCTCTGCTGATGGCCGGGGTCTGTGAATAGGGATATTTTGGCGAAAGTTATGCGAAGGAGTGGGCGAAAGTCAAAGAGCATGATGAAGGGGGCGGGCCAGTAAACATTGCCAAAAAAAAATAGTCAGCAACAAACTGTCCTGAGAAGGGATTCCGTGATGCTAGCTGCATGTTTAAAAGGCTATCAAGAAGTGATCCGTGACGTACACCTGGATGTGTCAAAGCACGTAAGCTTACAAAGAGAACACTTAAACAAACATGATCAAACATACACATGGTTTGAAAGTTATCTTACTGCAGAAACGATCAGGTCTGGGAAAAAACATCAACATATTTCTTCCACACACATGTTTTCTATAAAATGACAGGGCTTGACCCCCCAAAAGGTTTGCATAAGATGAAAGCAAAAAATTGTCTATAAAATGGCAGGGCTATACCCCCCCAAAACCATAACATAAAACGTTTTATGGAGGGGGTTGACCCCTGCCATTTTATAGAGGAAAAAGTAACATCCATATATGTCCCATACTAGGGCCCTAGGGACTCATCACGGGCATTCACCCGAAGCTCTCTTTCTGTACATCTGCTCCAAGTATTGATCCAACCAATTGTGAAAGGCCTCGACGGCTCGGGAAAAAGCGAGGAACCAGCGGTGCTGGAGTCTCCGACTGACGGAAAAATTGGGTTGAAACAGGTGACATAGGGTTGAAACATGGACAATATGGCAAATATGGAGAAATAAATCCATCATCAATAACAACCGTATCACTTAAATTGGAGCCATGCTTGGCATTTTCTGTGCTTTTGGTAGACATTTCCCACATACCCAGGGTGGATGGCACATGGTGCCGCCTCTGGCACCCCTTCGCCGTTGACATTGGACACGGCGTGGTAGGAACAGCCCAGCTTTTCGGCTTCCGCCAAGGCCTGGAAGCTGCAAGGCGTTCCATGGGCGTCACTTCACAAATGTATGGGATCAACACGAGACTGCAAAGGGTCCAAAAGTGGGAACAAGACAATTCATGTCGAAACAAGGAGAGTCAAACGCAAAACAGAAACAAACAAATCCCCTACCTTCCCTGAAATGATAAACACCTTGGAAGAACCTTGGTTAAGTGGCGGATACAGTGGATACATTCTTTTTTGGGGCCCATACAGGCAGGACTATCCATCTTCCAGGCAATTGGCCCTATTTTTCAAATTAAATCAACATCAGGAGAACAAAAGCCGGCATCAGCGTGCAAGTGAATATTGCCAAAATCATGCTTTTCCAGCAACATACCTGCAACTAGAGACATCCGCGATTCGGGTGTAAGTACGTTTATGGGCCTTTTGCAGGTTTATTGGGATGGACAAGACCTGCAAGCAACTGGGGGCCATCGTTCTCAGCGGTTCATTACTCACTCTTCCTGGTTGTCTACACATTCAAAGCGGTGGGTGTGGGACATCCCCAAGTGTCATACAACGCCATGCCACTTGGAGGATCATCCCAGTGATCAAGCCTGGTTCGTACGTCCCCTAGGGGTATCCCGCCTCATCTTCCGTCACCTCCTGGTGGGCTGAATCTGCATGAGTCCCCACCAGGCAGACTAAGACACCGTTGGACTCGTCGAAGTAACCTCGCTGGACCATTGGTTGAGGGGAAAGTCGGGTGAACACCTGGTTGAGGGGAACATCTAGAAATGAACATACTAGCCAGGTTAAAGGGAACCCCTTGCCAAAATATTTTTGCACATTGTCATGCCAGCACACGCAGGATTTAACTCGTTTGAAGACTCGTTTGTATCGCATCGCAAGGTGTTGATGACAGGTTTGATTAATCCCTCATTAATCACATCATTAATCCATCAAATTCTTCAAAATACTCCACTATATGGAGGTTTCAAAAAAGGGTGGTACCCCCAAATCATTCAGTTTTAGATGGATTTTCCCTTATAAACCATCCAGCTATTGGGTATCCCCTTTTATGGAAACCACCATATATCCAACCCCTGGCGCTAAATTCTGCCAGCAGCCCATGGCTTGGCGCACCATCGAGACCGCCTCGTGTAAGGAGTTGCGGTTTTCGAGGCCTTCGCTGCAGACAGTGGGGTCAAGTAGTGAAGATGTGAACAGAATAACAACCAGAAATAATATGTTACAATGATTAGATATGAACCGACCTGTTATATATTAAAATATGATGTTATTATGTTATATATGTTCGATTGATATCTATCGATATAGTTAGATAATAAACCATATATGTGTATATAAAAAAAGAATTATATAGATATGGGATACTTAAACATCTATGTTAAGATAAGAAAGAGTAGATATTATTATGATAATTGATAACTACAGTATGGATCCTATAGGATTCATGACAAATATATATATATATATTATTATATTATATTATATATATATATACATATATGTCATATGTAGTTATCCATAGTGTTGGGACTAATACTAATTTACAAATATACCAAAAATTATTCATAGGATTTATTCATATGATAGATATTATCTATATTTAAGTGATGAATGTTAATGGGAGGAAACTAAACCAACAAATACAACTATCGTATTTATTGTATGTACCCGTATGTTTCATGGTGCTGGAATACTTGCCAACATGTAACACACTTAGAACATTCCAATCTTGCGTTTTCCGATGTTCTAAGTGTACTAGTTTTTATTTTTTGCATTTGGAAAAATGTTTTGTTCTAAGTACACATCCGCAAGTATTGTGTTGGCAAATATTCTATACATAGAGCATTAATTGTTGAATGGCGAGAAAAATGTCCAAACGTTCAGCTGGACCACTTTGGGGCGTAAATATCATCTGCTTTCCTTACGATCCCTCTAGAAAACGGGGTCCAAACCATCGAATGAAGTTTCCTCCCCACCTTGCGAATCAATGCGGGGAAATCCTGTAAATTTCCAGGAAAGTTGAGTCATCGGATTGGGAAAAAGGGAAAATATGCAAGAAATCATTGTAGCTGATGGGTAAAAAAACAATCCATTGACCATCAAATTTGGTGATTAATTAAATCCCCACTAAATCCCCAATGGTTAAACCATGTTAAACCACCCCATTCAATCCCATCTACAAATATTTACAGTAAATCATCCAATCATTTGGGCTCCCCGCTTGTCACTTTGGGAACCTGCTGGCCAAAGCTCCGCCAAGGTACTGAACACGGCCATGATGCTTCTGGTACCTAGCGCCCAGAAGGCCAAGAACTTGACGTTTTTGATGCTCTGGTAATGACATGGTACATGACGATTGTCTTGAGGGATGTGTTACTACTAATCTATTGTTTTGGTGGATTCAAATCCTTGTATTTGCTTTGGGGATTTTTTTCACGAAGGACTAAAAGGATTTGAGGATGATTAAACCCAATAAATGGTTTTTGTTGGTGGATTATTACTCCTATGTAAATATGGTTATATCACAGGGGTCTGGTGCCAGGGGGTGGGGTTGGACCCCCTTGGAAAATAAAATCAAATCAAGAACCCGAACCCGGGGGGAACCACAAATTCAGTCGAATTTCGAGTTTAAAATCAAGGAGCCAACCCCATTTTTTCCCTAAACACCAACAAAGTCCCAAACTAAAATTAAGGATTGTCAAAAAATAAAATCAACAGGTCCTCAAGGCTACCTCCCAATTTCCCTGTTCTCATACCCTTAGGTGTTATATCTCCGCTTATGACTGGCACTGCACCCAGGAAGACCCGCGAGAACGCTTAGTGAAATTGGCATTGGCGCACCTCGCAGGTAGCTCAAAGTGATAGTTCTGAAGCGCTCCTGGAACTTTTCAGGGCGGATGGGCTTGAATTAGGCCCAGCCAAGACTTGAAAGGCTGGACATCCTACAAAATAAACAGAAACAAAATGAAAATTGTAGAATGAATCTCCTTACCCCTTCCAGTCTAGGTCAAAGTGAGGAATCTGATCTTTGTAATCTCGGCCCAGAAAAACACAGATAGCAACGGCAGCGATTGCTGTCTCCTGCCCAGCAGTGTCCCAGAACTGCAATTTGAATTTGAAGTGTTGACATTGCGTGGCGATCTGCCATGGCCAGTGGTCCGGCTCGAAGGGTCCGAAGGATGGAGGGTCAGGACCAAATCAGTAAACATTTGAAACCATTATAATGGAATTGGTAATTAAGTTTCAGGCTTGGGATCAAATAAACATGATTGAACTTTTTTTTATAGATTGGTCACCTACACTTGGGTTTCTCAATGCTCTGTTGCAACAGCTGTCACAAACCTCAAATCGAGTCTGTTTGGGGCTGGTTCCGATATATCAATATAAAGCATCAGTGTTTAGATCCTTTTAGATTCCAGCCCCTTTTCCACCTGCATCCTTGCCCTTAAAACGTGCTCGTGCTTTCAGAAATGCACCCAGCCCGTCCCCGTGTCATCAGAGTCACTGCTAGAGCAACGAGCCTCACCCACGCGGAAATCCACACCGATGGTCGGCCTTGTTGCATTCCCCAAAGATCCGACTGACGCATGTGACATGATTGGTGGGTGCGCCATGGTGTGGCTACCCCCCATGCAAGTTTCAACCCAAAACAAACTGGCTTGTGGGGTTATCCGGTCATTACCTAACTCAGATCATCTTGCTCCAACTGCCTCCCGACTCACCTTAAATGAACGTAGTTTAACCCTCTGGTGGTGAATCATGGGGCTGGAAAATCTCCCATCTATAGTTCAATCATCTGCAGAACTATTGTGAATGATCCATATGAATTTTAGCCATCAAGTGTGATGTTTCTCATCAGAAATAGATATATATATATATTATATGAATTATCCGAAAACACGGTGCCCCTAAATCCAACGTTGAATCATTATTTTAACTATATACTAAAATAATAACCATTTGGCGGGTATGCTCACTTTTCAATCGCACCCATATGCTAGTGGTGCAACTTTTGGATATGTGCCTTTTGTTTGAACCGCTGGTGCTCTTTGTTTCACACCAAAAACAGCATATGGTCTTTTGGGAATCCATATTTGGCTGTAGAAAAAATAAATCAGGGATCCCCAAATCATCTAAAATGAAATCATGTTTGGGGTGCCCCCATCTTGAGAAAAACCCATAGGAATGCCTAGATCATCATCTTTTGGGGAACGCATCGATTTACGGTTTTGATGTCGAGGGTCTCAAAGCTTAGTCCATGTCGACCCAGTTTCTCACATTCCGATGTCAAATGTGCTGTCAAAACATGGGATGGGTACTGGTCATCCACCATAATGGGAATCCCTACAAATGGTATATAAATACCTATTATGTATTGAGGACGATCCCCTTTTAGAAACAAACCCGTGTTTTGAGTTCCAGTTATAGGTGGATACAGTTATAAGTTGTAAGTTAAAAGGCTTATATTCCAACTTATGCAGGTTTTTGCCATAATTATCTCAAGTTATATATTCACGAATAACCCCCAACTGCACCCTCAAGCATACACAAGATCGACGCTTCATCACGCTTCATCCATACGTTATCTATGAATACCTATGATCTAGCCCAAAAAATGAAACCCACACAATGTAAACAGGAACAACACATAATAATAACAACAATAAGAATAACAATAACAATAATAACAAGAATAATAATAACAACACATACAAAACACCTAAACAATACTACCCATATCTACCCATGGCCGCCATGGCCATACCAAAGCCGGCACCGCGGCACAGATAGGTCTTGACGAAGGTCTCGTCGCAGTAGCGCGCCACCAGGGCGCTTTTTCCCACCATCGAGGGCCCCAGGAGGACGCACTTCACCTCAGGCGGTGAAGTGGAGAAAAATGGGATCTGATAGGGATTTACCCTCTGGTAAACTAACATAACTATGGAAAATCACTATTTGCGATGGCTAAATCAACTATAAATGGTCATTTTCAGTAGCTATCTTAGTTTACCAGAGGGTAATGGGAGTTGTTGTAGGATTTAATGGGATGTAACTGATGCAGGGAAAACTTTGAAGGACATGATTCTTCCATGGCCTCAATAAAATGAATGGATGGCATTGTGAACCCCCCATGATTTCGGGGAGCCCCCATTTTGAAACATATTGATATGGGGAAACCCAATGGCAAAGGAGATATTTGGGGAGAACATTGGAAGTGTAATATGTGTCTTCATGTTTTGGGCCTTTTTGGGTGGCTTTTAATCAGGAGAAGGAGGTGTTCAGTGTGTTCAGCGAAACATGTTGAACTGGAATGTGTCAGGATGATCTTATTGCTGTATCACTGGAATGAAGGGTGGTTAAGCTTGCAATGAACCACACAACTCATATACATAAATTTTAAATGCATATCAACACTATCATTGCATATATACATATAATCATATATAATCTTTACATACATATTTGAAATAAAAAACGATAACAACAACAACAACAACAACAACAACAACAACAGCAACAGCAACAGCAACAACAACAGCAACAGCAACAGCAACAGCAACACCAACAGCAACAGCAACAGCAACAGCAACAGCAACAGCAACAGCAACAACAACAACAACAACAACAAACAACAAACAACAAACAACAAACAACAAACAACAAACAACAAACAACAACAACAACAGCAACAGCAACAGCAACAGCAACAGCAACAGCAACAGCAACAGCAACAACAACAACAAACAACAAACAACAAACAACAACCAACAACCAACAACAACCAACAACAACCAACAACAACCAACAACAACAACAACAACAACAACATACAACATACAACATACAACATACAACATACAACTACAACAACAACAACAACAACATAAACATACAACATACAACATACAACATACAACAGCTATGCAAATCTGGACATTTGTAGCAGGTAGAGTGGTTTTTGAAGCTGGCCATGCCCATGAAATTTCCCAAGGACGCCAAAGCTTTTTCGTTCTACTTGCAGGCCATGGGCCAAAAAATCGGGTTTCTCCCCTTCCTCCTTCGAGCCGGACTCGAACTTGGTGAACTCGCTGCGGCTGCGTCGGACCAAGTGAAAGCAATCCTGGCATCAGGATGGTGTGATTGGTGCTTCAAAGACCTTCACCAAAAAATGTGGTATACTCGCAATATTCTGGCAGTATTTTATATGAAATATAGGGATGGGAATGGCATGGAATGGCGGCTTCCGCAGTTTCAACCTTCCTGAATAAGACACGTGTGTATAAACATGTGGGAAGGGAAGTGTATCATCCTGAAAAACGGGGAGGGGGGCGGAAACATCTAGAATCTAGAGTTATGGTTCCACCGCTCAAGGAAGTTAGCGGACACTTACCAGCTGATTGGTGGTTGAGTTTGGTTCCTGGAAAAAAGTGATTCTCAAATTGCTGGGTAAATGAACATGTACCATCGTAATTCATTAACCTGAAATAAGGCTAATGTTGGGATAACGCCCCGAATCCGAACCATGATTCCAGGGTTTGGTCGCAACGTGGGATCGTTCTAGTTTCCCCATCTTCATTGCATATTTGAACCGTCCGAAACCGCACCAGGCAGTGGTGACAGTGGAGAAGCACCTGATTGGGAGACCCCCAAAGCATGGTGCAAACATGTGGGACATGATCATTCCACCATCACGAACCGGATTCTTCCAATGGGTTATATATATATGGGTAAATGATAATATTTCACTAACCTGAATAGTTCGGCCATTTGGGGATGATTCCCCTTATTAAACCATGATTCCAGGGTTCGGGAGAACAGTGAGGTCCCCCAGTCAACCATCCCTACAGTAAAATCACCATGGGTGCAACTGATCACCATCCCCGATTAAGCTAGGTTTATTGGGTCTCCTACCTTAATCCTATACTAGATTATACTAGATTATACTAGTACTTCAATCAACGTCTCTTTTGGTGCCATGGTCTCTTCTTGGAACCCTCCCAAATGGCCTCCTCTTTGAGGTTGATGTCTTCCAAAGATTTGGTGAATGGCCTGGGAAAGGGGGATGATCCCTTCCATCAGGCACTACATCTGACCCCAACATGACATAAAATGAGTGGATGTCACAAGAGTTCCAATATGTTCCCATATCAAAGCAATTTTTCAGGGGACTGTCTGATCTCAGGAAGGGATTTAAGGGAATTTATCTTGATATACTCGATCAGTCCTTTGCCGGTCAAGGCAACAATCAACTCAAGGGACCCTTCTCGATGCAGATCATGGCGAAGAATGAGAAGGGGATTATCGTTCTTTATTGACTCACCAAGGTCTGGTTGTTTGTCACCTGCACGAAACACCAGTACTTATATCAGTACACTGTCAAGTGTGTGTGTGTGTTGTGTGTGTCCTGTGGTAACAAACAGTTCGATGGGGTCAACCTTTGAAGTGCAGGGGGCCACCGGGGTCCCACCGGGACCTGTGAAAATGTACCTGCACCGTTTCGTTTACTTTTGTGTTGGTCCCCACCGCTGTTGTTTAGAAATTTGCGTAGGCCAAAACATCTATTGCAACTGGACTAAGCCACAAAACCAGCATGCGGACTTCAATATGCAGAATTGATTTCAGTTGGTCGAACAGTTGGGCAGTGTCAAAAACTTAATGGAAAATCCCTTGTGATGATTGGTTCTGATACAACTTCTCATGATGCATTTTATGACAGTTACCCATATGCTGGGTAGCCCTATATAAATTATCCTATTTTTTTCATCCAACCATCATTCCTCAGTCAAAGCCACATTGAACACAATTGAAAAGACTATAAATGAGGGAAGGTCCAAAAACAAATGACAAACAGCCTAAAAATGGTGGTAAACCGGTAAACCCCAATGAAATTCACCATAATCCAGTGTTTCTTTCTTTGCCCTTCGTTTGAAATCGACCGGCTGCCGGTGATCGCCCGATCCATGATCCATTGGGGCATCCGGCATAATGTCGCTGCCCAACAGGAGGGTCAGTCGATGGGGAGGACCAAGGCCCTCCTGGGACCGATGGAGTCTTCACCCAGTTTTCTTCACACTGATGGCGCAAAATCTATGATTTTTTTTTGAAGCTGTATATATATATATATATATGATGTATGGAAAAATAAAAAATGTTGATACATATTCCATGAAGCATATGGGATATGATATTGATATACTGGTTGGTGGTTGAGCCACCCATCTGAAAAATATGAAAGTCAGTTGGGATGATGACATTCCCAATACTGTATATGGAAAAAATAGAAAAATGTTCCAAGCCACCAAGCAGATATAATATCAGAATATATGAGACATACATGTGTGAGACTTGGGGGACACTGAAACTTGATTGGGTTTGTCTGAAAATTGAGCCGGAAATCGGGAAATCCCAAAACCACATAGCCATGTTTGGCTTATCCATAATACGTGTCCACCAGTTTCACCCATTGGAAACATATTTCACATGCACACGTTTTCACACTTTGGATGGCGTGTTAGGCTGGCGCCTTGCGAAACTCAATGAAACGCTATCCTTGCTGGCAAGTTTCGCCTTGGATACCCAAAAAAAACACAAGTTCTGATGCCCTATGGAGGCCCATGATTGACGGATGTGCTCCAGGCATTCATCGTCCGATGTTGGAACACAGCTATGCTCTTTGCCTTGCTGATGAGGCTAGCTCAGCTCAAAGAATTGCAGCTGATTAAACTGTCCTCAATACCGTGCATGTATTCAACTTGCAACGACTATCCATATGTGGAACATTTGAGTTTGTCAGAAAAGTGGAGTATGCCCCACATCGACTCTCCATCACCTGGTGTGTTGACATGAATTCAAAACCAATCAACATACTCCCGATGTACTAGATGATTCAAAATCACTAATAACCAACCGTGGATTCATAAACCCCCAACCGGCTGTTTTTTTTGGGGTCTGTATAAATTAATGAAATCATATGAATTCATATGATCACTGAGGGTACCCCAAAAATCATTGATAAACCATACCATGCCCTGGCTTCAAAGCCGGGCCCTCCTGGCTGATCCGCGTCACAAGCTCCTGGTGATGAAACATATTCACCGCGTCAAAATTCTGGGTGATTCTTGGAGTAAATGGTGATACATATTCCATGAAGCATATGGGATATGATATTGATATCTGGTTGGTGGTTTCAACCCCTCCGAAAATATTAGTCAGTTGGGATGACATTGATTATGTTCAATATATGGAAAAATAAAAAATGTTCGAAACCACCAACCAGATATGATGTTCCCTCCAAACATTTCAACGTTGCCATGAGTTGCTGCTTGGGTCAAACTGTTGGGGGGATTCTGTCATGGGATGACCCGCTGGTACTGGAATTGGATCGGCTGGAATTGGATAAGGGCTATAGCGCCACCGGAACACCACACTGAAAATACATAGATACAACATAAGTGGGGCAATCGTGATATCAAGCTACAAACGTGAGGATTGAAATAAAACAACCGTGGTTGTAAGTTTTAAGTTTTACAAGTAATTCTGTGGGAGCTCTTATGCTCTTCTCAAATTAAAGAATCTATACCGAAAAGGGCATGCCAATCGGGATTCTCCGATTTTCCGGAGTAAGCGAACCTTAAACTTCACGAAAACTGATGCATGGGATCGTGAAGCTTTCCATGCCGTGGAAGATTTAGGTGTCTGAACATGGGTGAACCTCCCCAAACGCTGGCACCATGATTTCTCATGACTTTTCTATAGTCCATGAAATCCCCTATGTTGGCCTCCCTGGGGGGACTGGCGTTATCCTCCCTGCGACCCGGTCCTTGATGGTCGACGTCTTGGGCATGCTGGCTGCATATGCCACTTCGCCCGAGGAGTGCAGCACGCGCACGGGGACCGTCTCCAGCTCTTCCGCCAGCGGCACCGTCTGCGCGTCTCCCATGGCCACGGACAGCGCGATAGTTGAGATGCTGATGAAAGAAGCATGGCTAAATGTGAAGCCAACATCTTTAAAGCAAGAAACTATGTTTATGAAACTTTAAGGAGGTCCAGCCTAGAATGTTAGATTAACTACATGCTGAATGATGCTGTAATGCTGAAGATTTATATCAATGATCCGCAACTGCTGCCAATCCACAGGCTTAAACAATCATCGGTTTTGACGACTACGATCAACCATTCTATCCCAGGAATTCAAGGGAGTAGCCACATGGCCCAACCGAGTCCTCACAGAATGCTTTTCAGTTGCTTCCAAAAGACATTACCAACAATATTAGACAATATTAAGCATATGTTCCAGTGTTCCATTCATCATGTCTCACCCAAAAAAATAATGAAACCAAGTAGATACAAGTCGCCAACAAATGCAAACTCCATGTATTTCAGGATGGATGAAGGTGGAAGCACATGTGACCAAGGACGGCCTGTGACAGGATTGACCCCAACGGCCATCCAATCACAGATTTTCGACATGCCCTCCACAAGAAATTGCACTTCTTCATCCATTTGTGGGTAGTATATCTGGGTAATATATCATAATATATCTGGGTAGTATATGCGGGTATGTCTGGGTATGGTTCCAAACTTGGTGACATGGTGACACCAACAATTGTATGGCATCAAATCCCCATACTGACCTGCTATATGTGGGCCTTTTCATTGACAGCACTGCGAATCCCAAATAGACCACCCCATTGCAAATCTGAGAGCCCTGCCAAAGGGTTATTTTGTAAACTGGGCATTGTGTGTCCCCTCATATTCGCAGCTGCAATTTGAACAGTCATTAATTACCCAAATCCATCAGCAAAATTCATCAAACATGATAGCAAACCAGGCAGATTATCCATAGATCAAATCCAACGCTTTTCAGTGTTCTGACTAGATCCAATGTTTTCAGTGGTTAATTCCATCTTGTAGCTGGAAAAAAACAGGTCAAAATCAGCATGTTGCTTGGTTCAACCTCGATTATCCAAAGGTTTCCCTATGTTTCCCAATGTTTTTCCCTTGCTTCCCCATGTTTTTTCCATGTTTTTCTCAGATTTCCCCACGTTTTTACCACGTTTTCCGGCGTTTTTTGTTTTGGAAAAAACCGCCGCTAGCGTTCCCATCGTTCCAAGGCTCCGCAGGATGGCTGGGCCGAAGTTCAGCGCCACCAGGGGATCGGAGCTGCCCTCCTCGTCCTGGCGCTGTGCGAGATCGGATGGTTCTTTTTTCGATGGATTTTCCATGGGTTTTGAAACAAATTTCTATGGGGAATAGTCTGGGACATCATCTGGGACATCATCTGGGAAATCTATGGGGAATCTATGGGAAATCTGTGGGACATCATCTGGGAAATCTATAAGGAATCATCTGGGAAATCTATAAGGAATCATCTGGGAAATCATCTGGGAGATCAATGGGAAATCTATGGGAAATCATCTGGAAAATCTATGGGGAATCTATGGGAAATCTGTGGGACATCATCTGGGAAATCTATAAGGAATCATCTGGGAAATCTATAAGGAATCACCTGGGAAATCATCTGGGAGATCAATGGGAAATCTGTGGGAAATCATCTGGGAGATCAATGGGAAATCTATGGGAAATCATCTGGGAAATCTATGGGGAATCTATGGGAAATCTGTGGGACATCATCTGGGAAATCTATAATGAATCATCTGGGAAATCATCTGGGAGATCAATGGGAAATCTGTGGGAAATCATCTGGGAGATCAATGGGAAATCTATGGGAAATCATCTGGGAAATCTATGGGGAATCTATGGGAAATCTGTGGGACATCATCTGGGAAATCTATAAGGAATCATCTGGGAAATCTATAAGGAATCACCTGGGAAATCATCTGGGAGATCAATGGGAAATCTGTGGGAAATCATCTGGGAGATCAATGGGAAATCATCTGGGAAATCTATGGGGAATCTATGGGAAATCATCTGGGAAATCTATGGGAAATGGAAATCTATATTTTGGAAATCTTTTTCCAGATGGGTTTGTAACAAATTACTATGGGAAATCAGTGGGAAATCTATGGGAAATCATCTATGGGATTTCCACTATGGGTTGAAATAACAAATTTCTATGGGAAATCTATGGGAAATCCCATGTCATAAATAAGCGTTTCTTCACATGGAATTTCAATGGTTTCAATGGGTTTGAAATCTGTTTTTTTCGTGGTTGGTCATGGGTTTCTGACGGGTTTGAATGTGTCTTTAGAGGTGTTCAATGAATTTGAAATGGATGTAAAAAATGGGGTTGAACTGGGGTGTGTCAATGGGTTGTTGATTTTGTTGGACCCCGATACAGTAATCACCCATTTTGAATTTGGAACGTTGTCTGCCAAAGCCCAACATGGCAGGGTCATGCAGGGTCTATTTTGGAGGGATGGAACGGGCTTGCTCTATAGTAGGTTGTGGTTGATGGCTTGTTGGTAGGTTGTTGATGGATTGGTGGTTGCTGATGCGGTCTTGATGGGTTGATAGTGAGATGTTAATGGACTTCGCTAGACTAAAAATTAAAAAATCATGAAAAAAACAGCAGAAACCGGTGAGTGTCACTAACCTCTCAGATCACCTCTAGCAGCTAATCAAACGGATTAATCATGATTCGTTGATTGAACTGGTGGAACATGATGCACGTGATCAGTCCAGTCGGCGACTCAAGTTCCAACCTATGCAGAGACGCCTGCGAATTCATCAGGGCGATAGGGATGGAAGGAAAAAAAATGACCGAGATTCTGCAAGCTTGAAATCATCTGGGAAATTTATATTCATTTATTATCTGTCGTTCGAAAGGCCATTATTATAATAATATTTACTTATTGCCACCGAGGAAAAGGCCCTAGATTTCACCCATGTGCAGTAGATGATCTATTGATATATGTTTTATTCGTTCATGCTTCTATTGCGAGGCCACATGACATGTTTTGGGATCCAAACATACGTATGGTATGCGTATCTGCCCAGGTGTCCGATATTGTCTTGTGATCTTGTGGGATCCTATTGGAAATTCAAGGCTGCAACGCAGAAACACAACCTTTTTTTGATCCGTGCCCGATGGCCACGTCTCATTGTGTGGCACTCAATCGTCTTTCTGCTTGGCGAGGGCCATAATCTTCAGCATTTCCTCCTCATCACATCCATTCCTGAGGTTGACAGGCTATGGAGTTGGCGGGATACAGTGGGCAATCTATGAACCCGGCTGCCTCATTCCATTGTACAAAATCCGAGTTCTACCCGGGTGATTTCACCCCATCCCCATAATAAACCCCATTTAACTTGCTGTATCATAACCCATACAGTACCCCAACAAGTGTTTGTGGCATGTCTAACCCCCGTAGAACCAAAAGCATCAGAATTCAGCATCTGCAGCCACAAATTGTGTGGTTGACCTATGTTTATTCAATGGGAATCAGCGGCCTCTGATTGGGGATGATTCCCTGGGTCCCAATCCCAACCATCATTCGTCTTGCGAAATCATGATAACAATTAAATATTCAGAGTTATGTAAAGCTGGCAGGTAGCCTCAAAATCAGGATTCAAATCTTTATGTTCCATTCATATATATATATACAGTATTACAAGATGGTGCCCAGTTCTCGGCGCTGCTGTATAAAACTTTATCAAGCCCACTAGTTCGATAGATCTACCATGATCTACCACAAACCAACAGAAATTCACTGAATTACCCTCTGGTAAACTAACATAACTATGGAAAATCACAATTTTCACGGGAAAATCCACTATAAATGGTGATTTTCCATAGTTATGTTAGTTTACCAGAGGGTAAGTATGGGCACCACCTCTTAGGTATAGAACCCCCCTGAGATCAGCCGAGCAGCGGCAGGTCGTAGTCAAAGATCACCTGGCGTCTGGGGGCTGTCCAAATGTGGATCCCCGGCATGGTGATCAAACATGGAAATGCACAATCCACCACACACACACATATCATCACATCTACATATATATATACACATGTCACATACATAATGGATTATAATGGATTTACCTACACAATTATATATAATATATAGTGGATTTTAATGGATTGTCTCATTCAAGACCTCCATTCATAAGGGATGTTCAATCGCCATGTTTGATCACCAGAAGGCAGATATCGGATACTCCAACATCCGTCAATTTCTAATGAGAAAAGTGAAACGTGGAACCATCAAATTGGGGGGGACAAGGTTGTATGTTGGATCATTAAGGCTTGATGTTGAAAATGTTGGTCAAAATCAAAAGTTTCCAAAGGGCAATGCTTTGTTTAATTAAGTTTATCTTTAACTTCTTCCACACGCAACCAGGAAAAGTTAGCGTAGCTGCTGTTTTGGGAAACAAATTGGAATCCCAGGCGCGTAGTCTGCCAAGTGGATCCAGCAAAACGCCCGGAGATAGGCAGAATTCTCAGCGTCTAGGGCTGCTCTGATGGCCGCAGTGCTGGTGGACCTGAAATTTGATGCGCCATGGAATGGAAACCCTCCATAAGGTACAGTGTCGTGCCCCAGTTCCTCGGCTAAGTTCCTTCATTTGACGCATAGTAAAGAAAGTTCTATGGTAGACGTATCTACAGTTGATAGGATTTATAAACAAACTTGAGAGGGGGGGGACGAAAGGTAGGGGGGGGAAAGACAGGAGGGAGAGGCAAGACAAGGTGCGACTGTTTGTAACGCAAGCACGCCGACGACGACGACGACGACTACTACTACTACTACGACTAATACTACTATGACGACTACTACTACTATGACGACTACTACTACCACTACTACTACTACTACTGCTACTACTACCACCACTACTACTACTACTACTACTACCACTACCACTACCACTACCACTACTACTACTACTACTACGACTACTACTACTACTACTACTACTAACTACTACTACTACTACTAACTACTACTACTACTACTACTACTACTACCTACTACTACTA